GGAATCAAACTCAGACCTTGCACTTGCCAGGTAGGCACTGTGCTGCTGAGCTACATCCCCAGTCCCACACACAGTTTTGGTCTTTGTGCTACAGGGCATTGAACCAGGGGCTCTCACACAGATATGTCTCCAGCCCTTTATTTTTTATTTCTGAGACAGAGTCTTGCTAAAGCACTAAGCAGCTGAGTTCTTGACATGAAGACAGCTGAGACCTGTGCTGCCCTCTGACTCAGAGCCAGCTTCTGCGTCCTTGTTCAGAGCCACACCCCTCCCGCTCATCTTCAGGCCTCAGCATTGCCTAACACCCTGATCCCCGGGAGGCTGTCTCGGGATCCTAATACCTTTGGTGTCCTAGGCCTCCCCTCAAGTTTTAGAGATTTGAATTGATGCTGCAGTGTGTCCTTTCTTGTGCAGCTGCTGACCCAAGACAGGCTGTGGCCTCCCTGGAAGTTGTCAGGAGAGAGTGTTTGGGCTAAGTGGGATGTTTGTTTGGTTGGTTGGTTGGTTTTTGCATGTGTGCTACGGGGCATTAAACCAGACGCTCTCACACAGACATGTCTTCAGCCCTTTATTTTTTATTTCTGAGACAGAGTCTTGCTAAAGCACTAAGTTGCCCAAACTGGCCTTGAACTTGGGATCCTCCTACCTCAGCTTGCCAGAGTGGGATTATAGGCCTGTGGCACCAGGCCTAGCTGGAGGCTAAAAACCCTTATTCCTTGACTTGGAATAGTTTATACTGTTTAAGTTTAAGTGTTATTAACACATCCACATCCTTAGAGTATGCTGTAGGAAGATAAGAACCTCCCCCTCCCTGGCTGCACCTGGAGACCCTTCTGCCCTGCAGCTGCTCTGTGGCTCTCAGGGTAGCACCAGCTAAGGGAGTTGTACCCAGCTCACTGCATGGCCCCTCAAGCCTCCTGCCTTGCCCTGCCCTTCCCAGCCCACTCCAGGCCCTCACCACTGCCTCTGACCCTGGCCACTCCCTTCAGCACACAGCTAGGTGGCCAGCTTTGCTGTAGGAGGCCTCAGCAACACGCCCCCGCCACTCCCTGCCACCCCAGCATGGTATTACTGGATGGACACATGGGTTGGCCTGGGCACAGCAGCCCAAAGTGCTGTATGCAGTGGTGTGTGCAGAGTGTGGAAGCAGACAGGAAGTACAGAGAATCTCCCAGAGCATGGGGGATCCATGCAGCCACTCCTCTTGTGGGTACAGAGGTTGGGGGAGAGGTCCCAGGGTGGCTGGGGGCGTTTCAGCATGGGGCACGTTTTAAGGGAGGGTAGGAGAGTGCTGCAGCTTTTGGAAAATTCTGGGAAGATTTATGTGCCCAACGAGTTTAAGAACTGCAAGTATGTATAAATACATGTATTCATAGCGGTCAGTGACCACAGACTCCAGAAGTTGCTTTTTTAAAGTTGATGGGCATAAAGTCTCTCATTTCTTCCCCATTTCTGATTGTGAAAGATTTAGAGAATACCCCACAGTGTTGCAACAGCAGATGCCACTATGGGGCCACTGGAGCACCATCCACACCAGGCAGTGGCATCCCCCAGCCCTGGGGCTGGCCCACATCGTATCACTGGTGACTCAGGGATTTCTACCCTAGTTCCAGAGAGTTCTCAATCTCACAAGAAGAGGGATGAGATGTACAAACTTTTTCTTCATTTTGGAGGGTGGTCTGGGCCCTTTTTTGGGAAGAGGAAAAAGCTGGAAACAAGTCCTGTTGGGTGGATTTCTGTCAATTTAAATGAGGAAAGGCAGAATCTGGGATTTCCAGAAGCTCCTTGCTGCGGCTCTGATGGGTGTGGTAATATTGCATGTGGAGGTCACAAGAAAGGAACAGCATGATATCAAGAAATGTACCCACTTCCTGGGGTTCAGATAGTGCTTACTGCCAGGAAACTGCCCAAAGAAGGCTTCCATTTTCTGGCCCATCCTGATGGCCACACTCATCTGGGGCCCAGTGTGTGCAACTAGGCCTGTGTCCTTTCTGTACATAGATACTATGTCTTTCTCTCACAGAGACATTTATATGGCGGCAAATGACAGCCTCTCAGTATCTAATTGTATCATACATGGAAACTTGTGAAGAATCTTGTCACGAATGTTGGTGTTAGAGGGCGCTGCTTCCATTTCTGTCCTGACACAGCAGATCAGCCCCTCTTGCAGTCATCTGTGGCATCCATCCAGATGCATGCTGATGTTTAGGAAAGCTTAGGGATTTAGAAAAAATGCAAACGGTTGGGGTGTCTTGATCGTATTTCAAACAGCCCTGACATCTGTCTTTAGAGATGAAGTCTAGGCTGTGACTTTTCTCACTGACCTCATTAATCCTCTGGATGCTGCATGCACCGTGCATGGAGAACCTTGTGGCACATGTTCTCCCAGCTGCAGAATAGGTGGAGCATCTTTATTCTTTGTGCTGCCTGGCCTTCAGGATATCTTAATGGTGTAGCTGCACCAACACAAGGCTGGCCTGGAAAAGTTTTTGCCATGGTGCTGGTTTTAGATTGTGACCTGCAGAGCCCTAATCTGCAGTTTCTGGTTGGTGGTTTGTCAGTTGTGTTTGTAGTTTGTTCTGGAAGAATGAAATGAATGCTGGCTGTCTGCTCCTACTTGGTCATTATTTACTTAAGGCTGTTTTCAAGAAAACCATTTAATAAGGAAGGAAAGACTCTTGATGACAGCTTTTATAAATTGTGCAATGGTGTATAAATCAGCAGAACCTTTAGGATTTTAGATTCTGGGTGTCATTATGCCAATCCCAGTGTAATATTTATTCCTATTTATCACTCATTTCCTGAATATTCAGAGCAGAGATCAGTTCTGGGTGGGTAGAATTGAATTTGGGGAGTCTCTGTGTTGCTCTGTGGGCCCTGAGGAGCCCAGAAGGGAGTTCTCCATGGGGTCTCCCAAGCAGAAGCATTGAACAGGGGCTGAGGGTGGGATGTTCCGCTTGTGGAGTACAAAGGCCAGTTGGGATGGAGGCAGAGTGACAGCATCCCACAGATGTGGGCCATACCGTGGGGAGATGTGGTAGTACATCGGTCCTGTCCTGTGGCCTCTAGACAGATGGAGACCTGGGGGTGCTGATGGTAAGCCTTCATGGAATCCCCTCCCAGGGTGTGGGTAAATGGCCTACTGTCAGTTTCACAGTATCTCAGGGGCTCTAGGGGACCAGGGCCAGTACCAGTAACAGGCCAGTAACAAAGACAGGAGCCACTGGCCCAGAGGCACAGGTGAGAAGGTAGCTGAACTTCCATCATGACCCACACTCAGCTTCATCTCACAGTGAGGGAGGATGAGGCTTCTGGGACTGCAGAACCATCTTTTTTCTGTTCTTTCTACCCTCAGCCCTTTTAGAATCCTCATCCAGCCTGTGAGGAAGGCTCTACCACTGGCTGGATACTGTATTCCCTCCACCTCCACCTGCCCCATGAGAAGGGTCTCATCTAAGTGAGGAGAATTCCTTTCAGACCAGTTGCTGGACTGAGCTGATGTCAGTGCCAGAGGCAGGGAAGCTTGGACTCCTTTTCTGTAGGGAGGCCCACCTGCAGCCCAAGCCCTCTGCTAGTGTCTGAGGAGACCCAGGTGTCCACACAGGGGTCAGCTCTTCCCAGGCCTCTGAAGGTCTGCAGGACCCCTCCGACTGGTCTTAGAGATGCTGATTTTTGCAGGGACCACGAGCAGTTTGTCTAGATTGTGGGGTATAGGCAGCCAGGGCTGGGCAGAGGTAAGGAGCTCGGGGAGGGAGATCGAGGGGGCTGTGTTTGATGCCAGGGGGAGCAGGGCTAGGATTGAGGGTGGGAGGAGATGGGACACCAAGGAGCCTATGTGGTACCACCTCAGGTCACAAGGAATGGTACCACTTCAGGGACAAGGAATGATAGGGCCAGGATGTGTGCTGAGATTGGGCTGTTGTCTGGGAAAGTGGTCCTGCAGTCTGGGAACACATGTAGATGTAGATGGTGCTTTCCTGAACTGAGCCCTGCGTGGGCTCAGGCGCCCCTCTTCCTCTTCACTTGGGGCTTTGTCCACCTCAGCCCAGAGCCCAGAGGTTTCAGTTAGGCTCTGTTTGGACACACATGTTCCAAGTGGCCTCAGACACACATACAGGGGTATCACACCTCTCGTAAGGGTACGTAAGCTCTGTTTGTTGTTTTCACAGATCATAGGGTGCCAAGTGAAGAGGGATCCCCCAGACTCCACCGCACGGTACACACGTTGGATCAACCAGCTGGTACCAGACCAGCTCCTGACACAGGTGATGGCTGTGTGTCCTCGTTGCAGGTGGCTGGCTGTGTGGGTGACAGCATGGCTGTTTGTCTTCATTATGCCTGGCTGTGTGGGTGACAGCTGTGACTGTTGGTCCCTGATGTGGGTGGCTGTACAGGTGATGGCCCTCAGGTGTTCGTTCTTGATGCAGGTGGCCATGGGTGAGTTGGTGGCTGTTTGTCCTTGTTGGAGAAACTGCTTATTAGTGCTAGGCCATGTCCTGCCCCAGGCCCGAGAATGTGCGATTGGATGCAGTCTGTGTCTTCTCTGTATCTACATGTCGGTGTCTACACAGAGTGCTGAAGGGGCTCTCTCCTGCTCCCATAGATATTCAGGGTTTAGATGGTGCGTGTTCCCTCCCAGGATGCCGGCATTGCAAAGCATGCTTGGGACTCCAAAGGCTTTTCAGTCTCTACAGTGTGTCCCTGACATGTTCTGTGGAGCCAGGCTGTCCTTGTGCAGTGTTGACAGCAGCGTGATTTCAGAGCAAACAGAGGGTGTATATGGCACAGGGCAGAGAGTAGACATGGCAGCAGGTACAGGATTGACATGACCATGGGCAGAGAGTGGATGTGGCAGTGGACATGCCAATTTAAGGCCAGACGTAGGGACAACTAGCACCCAATGTCTCAGATCTGAGCAGCTACAGATTGGTGATTACCTTGGTTGCCCCTGCGGGGTGTCTGGCCTCCCCCTTGAGTGGACAGAAGCCATTGTTCTTTTGTCAGAGGACAGCTCCTCCCGTACAGGTTGTGGTCCAGTGCAGCCCTTCCTGACACTGAGCTGTGTGCTGTGGTGTGGTGCTACACTCCTGGTGGACTCTCGAATGTGTTCACGGCAGACACTGGGACTGCCTCCCCACGGGCTGCACCTCTGCAAGCTAGATGGTATGTTGCTTCCTGCCTCTCCAGGCAGTCTGAGCCAGCAGGAGCCATATGTGTGTTGTCTCCAGACGGCATTGTACTTTGCTGAGGATTTTCGTGGGAGGCCAAAAAGCCAATGACCCAGTGTGGGCTTAGAATCACACCCTGATGCTTAGGTTTTATGTCTACAGAAAACTTGGTTTTTGTTTTGATATTTTTTAATGAAAAGAAATGAATTTCTCTTTATTAGTTACAAAGCTATATCCATTTAAAACAATTTAAAAGTAACTATTATATTTGTAAAGATTATGCTTGACTATTTTAGGAAGAAGTCTGAGTAATATAAAAAGTTACCCAAAAAAAGTGTGTAATGGGTGTGTAGTAGTACTTCATATGGCTTTAATTTACACTTCCCTATTGATTAATGGGCTATTTTACTATGCATATCTCTTCTTTGGTAAAATGTCCAGATCTCTTTGTCCATTATTTTGTTGTTTGTATTCTTATTTTTGAATTTTAACATTTATGTATTGTGGATACAAATCCTTTATCAGACATAGACTTTGAAAATATTTTTCTGCATCTATGGCTTGTCATTTTGCTCTTTTATTCAAAGAGAAGTTTTAATTTTTGATGAAACCCAACTTACCAGTATTCCTTTTATGGGCTGTGCTTTTGGTGTTGAATATGAGAAGTCTTTGGCTAATCAAGTTCATAATGTTTTCTCATGTCTTCCCCTGAAAGTCGTATGTTTTAGGTTTTTCATGCAAGTCTGTTTTCCTTTCTTAGTTAGTTTTGGCACATGGCTCAAGTTGTTGTCTTACTCAACTCAGGTTATCATAACAAAATACTGTGCACCAGGTGGCTTAAACAAGAGCAGTTTATCACAGTTCTGGAAGCTGAGAAGTCTAATTGCAGCAGCTGGCAGCACTTCATTCTTGCCCAACCCCTCTTCTGGGCTTGCAGATGGCCACTTCCTCACCCAGGTCCTCACATGGCAGAGGAGAGCCAGAGGCTGAGCCCACTGTGAGCATTCCACCACCCTACCCTCATCTGAATCTGGTCAGCCTCCAAAGGCCCAACACAGATGCCATCAAATCAGGGAACAGGCCTTCAACAGAAGAATTTGGGAGGGTACATTTTCATTTTGCCTATAGATATTCTGTTGATACAGTCATTGGAGAAAGACAGGTCTTTCTTCCATCACAATCAGTGCCCGTAGCTACATTGGTTTAAGTAGACTGTCTTTTCTCCTGTTGACTGGTTGACATTTACAGACTTCTTCTATTACTTTTTTTTATTGTAATTCTTGTAGTTGGTTAGCATTAGCTGTCCAAACTTACTCTTCTTTGTCCTTTGCATTTCCATATGATGTGAAATCAGCTTACAATTCTCTACAAAAAATAAAATGTAAGGTGCACCTGACTGGGGAGTTCATGTTGGGGTCAGAAGGAAGCAGGTAAGTGAGTCCAGCAAGAGGAGACACTGCAAGCTCAGCTGGGCCTCAGCATCTCAGAAGAGATGGTTACTCTGCCTTATAGACTATGGATGCTGCCTCAAAGCTGTCATCTTCAGCACTGTGGGAGAGGGAAGACAGTGCTTCACCCCTTGGGTACAGAAACCAGTTATTTTTGACTGCTGCTGTCAAACACATAATGTGCGGATCATCACAGCAGCAGAGGGCTGAGCGCAGCATCTCACTGCATGTCCTTTTCCAGTCCGTGGCTGGCAGCTTCATCACATCTTCATCAGCACCAGAGAGGACTGTGGTGAGTGTGTGCCACTGTCTGTCACCAAGAGATCATCCACTCAGTGGTGGCTCACTTTCGTGCTAGAGAACTGCTCATCAGATGAGCAGTGGCCTTACCAAGTTAGCAGCTTTAGGCACATCTTGGATGACATGTCCTTGACACTGCTAACCTTTTGGAAGGAGTTCACTGAAGCATTGAAGCCAAATCGGAAGATCAGTTGGAAGCACAGAGAGCCAAATTGTGGTGAGAAAGGTGAGATGCAGAAAACAGCTCTCATCTCCACTGAGGGTACATCCAAGCAGCCAAGCTGAGTCACAACAACTCACTGGCTACCATGGGACTGTTTTGGTTGAGCTGTGCAGACCAGAAACCACCAGGGCACTGCATGCCAGCTCTTGAGCTTATGGGACATCACCTGCCTGCTGGTGGGGCCTTTGTCTCCTCCTGCCTCTCCAGTGAGGCCTGTTCTTGCTGCACCTCGCCAGACCACCTGGGCCACAACAGTGATCCACAACAGCACCCTCCCTTCTGCCACCACCCCAGAAGACATAAGATATCACTGTGAAATTTCATCGTTGACTTGAAGTGAAGGAAGTAAAAGTAAGATAACTGCGGATCTCTATTCTAAAAGAGTCTTCTGGCCATAAGCAGAACACAGCTTTGCCCATATTTTCACTATGCACAAAAAATTAAAGTGACTCAAAGACCTAAACCTAACACTAAAAGCTATATAACACTTCAGAAGAAAACATAAACACTTCACAGTGTTGCATGTGGCAGTGATTTCTTGGCTATGATTTTTTTTGCCAAAAACATAGGAAACAAAAGAAAAAACTAGATAAATTAGAATGTATCAACATTTAAAATTTCTGTCCACCTAAGAACACAGTGGATGGAGTGAAAAAGCAATCCACAAGATGGGAGAAAATATTTGTTATATTTCTTTTTTTAAAATTTATTTTAAAAATGAAAGAAGGAAAACATTATCAAACAGACATCCATTTACAAAATAGCGTAAGAACAATACAAACAATACAGAGTTACAGACAAAGTGGTAGGAAATGAACAATGGTGGTTGTATTACTTATTGATATCTTCAAAGTGGTTTCTCAGGAAAACAAGTAGAGATATGCAAGATTAATCAAATAAGTAATCATTACCTGTTCCTTTCAGTAAAGCAGTAGAAGTCAGTAGTACAACTGTGTTAACTATCCTGTTTATACATACATACATAATTTCCCCTTCTTTCTTTTCTCTTTTCCCTCACCCCAGTTACCCTTTCTTTCGAGCATTTTCTTTTTGTTTTGCAATATCTATCATACCTCCTAATTTTTATTCACTCTTTCAAATTCTTATACTAGTGAGACAATATGTTGCTTACACCTGGAGGTCTGGTTTATTTCACTTATGAGTATGGTCTCTAGTTGTGACCATTTACGTGTAAAAGCCTCAAGTTTATCTTTCTTTATAGCTAAGTAATATTCCATTATATAAAAGTACCACAATTTTTTTATCCATTCCTCAGTGGATGGACATTTGGGTTGCTTCCACAATTTCGCAATTACAAATTGCACTGCTATGAACGTGGGTGCACATATATCACTGTGATATGTTTTTAGATCTTCTGGGAAAATACCCAAAAGGGGAATAGCTGGGTTGAATGGGACCCTCTAGATCTAGTTTGTTGAGAATCTCCAATCTGATTTCCACAGTGTTTCACACTCTGCATTCCCACCAGCAGTGGAAAAAAGTTCTTATTTCTCTACAGCCTCACAAGCATTTGTTATTGTTTGATTTCTTAATGATAGCCATTCTGGGGTGAGATGAAATCTCAATGTTGTTTTAATTTGCATTTCTTGAATGACTAATGATGTTGAAGATTTTCAAATGTATTTATTTGCTGTTTGGATTTCTTTATCTGAGAAGTGTGTATTCATCTCAGCTGCCCATTTTTGGATTGGGTCTTTGAATTTGGGGGGGACTGGTGTTTTTTAATTCTTTGTATGTTCTAGATAGAAGCCCTTTGTCTGAGGGACAGTCAGCTAAAATTTTTTCCCAGTTTGTGGGTTTTCTTTTGCCTCTGCTGGTGATTTCTTTAGATGTGCAGAAACTTTTCAGTAGGATGAGATCCCAGTTGTTGATTCTTTGAAGTATTTCACATGTGGTTTGGTTTTTGCTGATGAACTCTGCCTACCCCTATGTCTTCAAGGTTTTTACCTACTTTCTCTTCCAATAGATGTAGTGTTTCTGTTTTAATATTGAGGTCTCTGATCCATTTTGAGTTGAGTTTGGTGCATGGTGATAGACTTGGATCTATTTTCAGTCTTTGGCAGGTGGCAAGCCAATTTTTCCCATACCATTTATTAAACAGGCTG